CACTTTCTTCTGTCATCAACATAACTTTCTCATGCTTCTGTTGCATCCCCCCTATAATTCTGCTCACCAACACAAAGGAGCTTCCTTAGAAAGTTTGGAAAGTACAAGATTATACATAACTAGGTGACACTTTTGCCATCACAGTTAGAAAGAATAAAAGTATAATTTGGAAAATTAATCTTCGAGGTAGATGTCCAAAGCAGTCTTGATATCTACCTCTTGGCCTCCTGTCTATTCACTGAACACGCTGGCATCTGGCACAATCTTCTCACCCCAACTCCTGCCCTCAGTTCCTTAATGTCCTCATCTGAAACGACCTGCCTCTACACTCCATTCAAAGTCCCCCAACTTCTATGGCCACACCTGAAGCTGGTCAACTTTCAAAATGCCTCTTTTAGGCATCCTGTCCTTAAACCAGTACCTCCCACCTTTCTAGATCACTTAGTCTCATCTGTCCCCACTCGAACCATCTGCCAGTCTCATCAACTTCCAATCCATGACCTTTTTACTTTTCCTTCTCAGTGAGTCCCCAACCTTGTCTTAGATTCAAATTCCACCCTTTCAGTCAGTTTCTTGTAAATAGAAACCTGCGCTTTCATTGCATTTGGCAAAATGTTATTTCTGCAAACATTCAACTATCTTTCTCTGTGCCCACCCTAGTGACTCTGGAGAAAATTACCCAAATGAAGCAAACATGTAGCACTTTTAAGTTTATGAATTATAGCCTCAACTGGGCCTTCAACATCATCCCAGATTCTCCCATTTCCTTCTAACCAATTCACTCTCCCCAGTTACCATTTTAAGCCTTTGTTACTCTACTCAAACTTCAAACCTGCCTCCCTTTATGCTTAATATTTGACCCTCTTCCTATTTTTTCTGAGGAAGTAGTTCAGACTAAAACTGCCAAGTCTTCTGCCATCAAACCTAGAACCTACCTGCATGTTTGTCTATTCTTTCCTCCTTTAGACTAGGAGAGATGTCCTTCCTCCTTTATTCTGAGTTCCATGGCTTCTTATCTTTCAAGAATCTTACATTACCCACTATTTTTTTCTCTTTTTCTATCCCTCCCATTACATTTACAAACACTCAAATCTCTCACAACTTAAAACAGTTCCCGAGTCTTATTTCCAAAAGCTACTGTTCCCCTATATCTTTCTCTTAGCAAAGTTTCTAGAAAGAATTATCTAAGCTAGTTGCCTCAATATCCTCTTCTCCCATGTACTCTTTAAACCACTCTAAACCAACTTTGCCCCCTCCCACTTCTTCAAAACAGTGCTCCCTCTAAAGCAAGCATGTCAAACACCCACAGGCCACATGTGGCCCACAACGAATATTTTTGCAGCCCAGCCAATATAATGGTATGTAAGAAACATTTTAATAAAAATTTCATAACTTAATTTTTACAATATCCTGTTATACATAATTATTAATAACGAACTACAATGTTCGCTAATAACTGATTGCTATAATCATGTTGCATTCATTTCCCTTATGTGCCTTACACGTAGACACACCATTTCTCTCCACTAATACTAGCAGTGAATATTTTAGCAACTGCCATGTCATTACTCTTGTACTGACTTACTTGGTGTGTGCAACAGGAAATATTTTGCTTTCGGAGAACAAGAAAAATAGGTTTATTTGCATTACGCTTATTAATTTGTGCAATTATTCAGTGTCTGGTAAGTTAATGTTCAAGAAAAAATATTAATTTTTATTAAAATGTTCTATTATTTTATGTTAACGATTACTCATT